CTGGGAACCGCAGGGCATTAGTATCTGTAGTGTGGACCGCTTGCTTCCTTATAACCATCTATTCCATAATGTCTTCATCATCTCTTTCTACTACCAGGCCAATCGCTGTGGGGAAAAATCTGTAAGAGTCAAAAACATGATACGTGGTTTTATGTGCTTTATCAGGAGTCTTCCACTCCCTCCCCCGAATACCTTTTGTCATATGAGTTCTATTCTGCATAAATTTAATTTATAGGAAGGTCCTTATACTCCAAATAACTACCATTACACTTCCTTAGGACAGCCTCACAGCGTAACAGCTCTCACCGTATGGACCATGTCAAAACAATGGCTCCAACTTCATCTGTGAAAAGATGAGCGATAATAAGAGGTAAAACTTAAAAGTAGATACACAAATAAAAGAAAGACTACATGGTTTAATGAGAACCATATACAAGGCTCTATAAACTGAAATGGCACCCCGGCTGGGTGGTTCAGTTCACTGGAGCTCTGTCCCATGCACCAAATAGGCTGCAGGTTTAATTCTCAGTCAGGGCACATACCCAGGTTGCAGGTTTGATCACCACTCAGGGTGCATATGGGAGGCAACCAATCAATGTTTCTCTCTTACTTTGATGTTTCCCTCCTCTCCCTTCCTCTCTCTCCAAAAATCAATAAAAACATATCCTCGCCCTGGCCAGTTTGGCTCAGTGGTTGAGCATCAGCCTGCAGACCAGAGAGTCCCGGGTTTGGTTCCCGCAAGGGGTATGTACCACAAAAAAAAAAAAAAAATTCCTCAGGTGAGGATTAAAAAAGAAATTATTTTTTAAAAATCCAAATAGACATTACATTCATATATTACTACCTTGAACCTAGGATTAATTTACCACCTTAAACTAAAAATTTATTAAATTAAAATATATGTCATACAATTCCTAGAGTTCAATCAGGAAGAGAAGCTAACTCAAGGGGTTAAATGAGGGAAAATTTATTATTAAAATAACTATTTACAAAGATATAGACACAGCCTGGCTGGTATGGCTCAGTGGTTGAGCATCAACCCATGTACCAAGAGGTTGCCAGTTCAATTCCCGTTCAGGGCACATGTCCAGGTTGTGGGCCAGATCCCCAGTGGGGCGCATGCAGGAGGCAGCCAATCAGTGTTCTCTCTCATCGATGTTTCTATCTCTCTCCCTCTCCCTTCCTCTCTCTCTAAAAATCAATAAAGGAAAAAAAATTAAAAACAACAACAACATGATGCATGGGGTCTGGGAATGTTACATACCTCTAAAGAGGAAGAGAAGGGAACTCTACATCAGTAACATTTTATCTTAAAATATCTGAGACAAATATGGCAGAATATTACACCTATATAATCTAAGTAGCGAGTACAGAAGTATCACAAACTTACATATAAATTTTTTAGTATGTTTGAACTATTTTAAACATTTAAAAACAAAATTTAGCCCTGGCCGGTTTGGCTCAGCGGTTAGAGCGTTGACCTGCGGTCCGGAGAGACCCGGGTTCGGTTCCCGCAAAGGGCACGTACTTCGGTTGCAGTTTGTCCCCAGCCCTGGTTGGTCGTGCGGGTGGCAGCCACTCGATGTGTCCCTTTCATGTCGATGTTTCTCTCTCTCTCTCCCCCTCCCACTCTATCTGTACAAAAAATAAATAAATAAATAAAAACAAAATTTAGAACGAAGAAAATCATTACTACACACTTCAAATATTCAGTTTAGAGATGATGTCTTTATAAAATAATGATCTCATTTTCATTTAAAAATAATGAACAGCCATCTTTTTTTTTTTCTACTTTGAAAGGAAGTTGTTACATTTCCCAAAGTAATTTACCTTCTCTCTATACAATTCTTGGGTTGGACTATTTAGTCTGAAAGCAGTCATTAAGAGCAAAACACTACATTTGTTCTCACCATACCAAGTAAACTCAAGCACAAACAGTAACTGAAATTTACAAACAACATAAATTAGTTGTTTGGTAATATCTGGTAAAGAAATATCCTAGCCCTGGCCAGTTTGGCTCAGCGGTTAGAGCGTCAGCCTGCGGTCCGGAGACACCCGGGTTCGGTTCCCGCTAAGGGCACGTACTTCGGTTGCAGTTTGTCCCCGGCCCTGGTTGGTCGTGCGGGTGGCAGCCACTCGATGTGTCCCTTCACGTCGATGTTTCTCTCTCTCTCCCCCTTCCCCTCTCTCCCCTCCCACTCTATCTGTACAAAAAATGGAAAAATATCCTCGGGTGAGGATTAAAAAAAAAAAAAAAGAAAGAAATATCCTAAATTGCCCTGGCCGGTTTGGCTCAGCGGTTAGAGCATCGGCCTGCGGTCCCGAGAGACCCGGGTTCGGTTCCCGCTAAGGGCGCGTACCTCGGTTGCAGTTTGTCCCCGGCTCTGGTCAGTTGTGCGGGTGGCAGCCACTCGATGTGTCCCTTCACGTCGATGTTTCTCTCTCTCTCTGTTCCTCTCTCCCCCTCCTACTCTACCTGAACAAAAAATGGAAAAATATCCTCGGGTGAGGATAAAAAAAGAAAAAAAAAAAAAGAAATATCCTAAATAAATAAATTAACTTTCTACTTAACCAAATATTTCAACTCCTATTCTCAAGAATCAATCTTTTGCCCTGCAACTAGTCTCTTAATATTTTCTGTGTCATGGACCCACTTGACAATGTTCCAGGCTGAATTGTTTCTCCCTAAAATTCATATATTGAAGTCTTAACCCCTGATACCTTAGAATGTGACTATACTTGGATATAAGGTGTTTACAGATAAGATTAAATTAAAATGAGATCTTTAGGGTGGGCTCTAATCTAACATGACTGGTGTCCATCCTTAGATGAAGAGGAAATTGGGACACAGATGTGTACTGAGAAAGACCCTTTGAAACAGGGATAAGACAACCATTTAAGCCAAGGAGAAAGACTTCCGAGAATACAATCCTGCAGATAGGTGGACTTAGAATTTCTACAACTGTAAGAAAATTAATTTGTTGTTTAAGCCACTCAGTCTTTGGCACTTGGTTATGGCATCCTGGCAGTTTAGGAAACTTATAAATCCCTTCTTAAACTGTTTTAATATATCCACAGAATCCTAGTGAATACCAGGGACCCCATTTTAGGAGCCCTTCCCCTAATTTACCCTTTCTTAGGTAATCTGTTCAACTCCCACAGCCTCAACTTCTACCTAAATACTAATAATTCCAATATCAAATATCTCTTTCAAGTCCTCACCTTCATCTAGACCCACATCTTGTATGTCTTACTGTCCATCAACATCAATTCCACGCAATGTCCCATGAGTACCTCATATTCAACATATCTGAAGCACTATGTTTTCTCTATCCTGTCTAACCTGATTGAAGCCTTGCATGTCAGTTAGTGGACCCAGTCACCAGAGGTAAAAACCTCTATTTTCAGAATCATGAACAGCTTCATATTTCTCACACCTCATCAATTTCTGCCAAATATTTGCTAAATACTTCTCAAATCCCTTCCTCTTTAATACCATTGCCCCTGCTGAGTCAAGCTCTTATCTCAAGAGGGAACTATTACAGTTCAGTACAGGGATTGTGCTTCTATCTCTTCACCTTCTCAATCCTCTTGTTATACAGTGATACCTCGGTTCTCGAACATAATTCGTTCCAGGAGGACGGTCGAGAACCAAATTGTTCGAGAACCGAAGCAATGAAACCCAATAGGAAATAATGGAAACTGGATTAATTCGTTCCAAGCCCCAGAAAATGCCTATTTACTGGCCTAATTTGTATATAATATGTAGAAAAACATAAGTCTCAACAAGAAATAAAGTGTACAGTATGTCTAAGGGTTAAATTCAGTTGTAAAGCGTGACTCTCTCCACAAAGCGTGACTCTCTCTCTGCACTCACACCTGATGACGCAAGCAAGGCGCGCTGGGCGAATGAACGCCATTCGGCTCAACTCGGCTCATCTCGGAAGTTCGAGTTCCAAATATTTGTTCGGATTCCAAGACAAAAGTTTCTCGAATCTCCTGGTCGAATACCGATTTGGTCGAAATCCGAGGCGTTCGAGAACCGAGGTATCACTGTATCACTGCACTATGAACTTTCAAAGTTGTAACTCTGAACCTAAGTCCTTCAATGAAAAGAGGAGACGCACTCAGATTTTCATTATCTACACAATTCAAATCATTCTACCTGGCTGATATTCAAGGCCTAGTATAATCTGGCAGCACTTCGCACCTCATACAATAGTGTAACTGCTAATATGTGGTCCCTAAACATACCATGTAACCTCACTCAGTTAGCCTTTGCATATGCTGTCTCTCTCTACTCCTCTTCATCATCCCCATGACCTTTCTTATAAAGTACCCTGACTGCCCCACACTGAATAAATAACTTTCTTGTCTGCTACCTTTGCACCTTCTACATGTTGTCATTACTAAACATAGTTCATTGAATGAGTTACCCCTTCTAAGAAAAAAACATGTTGCCAATTAAACTCTGCCATGCCATCAATATTAAGAAAATTCTGTTTAAATGTGGTGAAAAATGTACAACAGAAAATAAATAAAATATGGTATGTGTTTACTTGACTGATTCATCTACAAGATTGAGAGCTTCTTGACCTGGTTGGTGCGGCTCAGTTGACTGGGGGTCTTCCCATGCACCAGGAGCTTGCCTGTTCCATTCCCTGTCATGGCACATGCCCGGGTTGCAGGCGAGATCCCAGGTAGGGGACATGCAGGAGACAGCTACTCAATGTTCTGCCCTCATATTGATGTTTCTCTCTTTTTCTCTCTCTCTCAAATCAATTTAAAAAATACAATCTACTGTTAATGACACAAACATTAGAAGGTGAGAGGTTTGATTGCTTTTCACAGTAAACCTTTTAGAAAATATGACCCACTATGTGTAAATACTGGCCATACAGTAATAACTCAAACATAAAATTATATACTTACTTTTGGGAGGGTTTTTTTTTGTTTTTTTTTTGTTTTCAAGTTTTTTCCCCCTTTATTTAATAGGCAATACTAGTCTCAAAAATCTTTTTCTTCATCAGATGTTTGATCCCCTTGCAACATTTTGGGTCTCTGAGCTTGAACATGGAGTTTTACTCCATCAATAACATGACTGTCCTGTTGTAGTGCATTCTGAAGTTCCTCTGAGAAAGAAAATTGAATCCAACCCATACCTCTGTGAAAGCCAGTCTCTTTGTCAAAAGGTACAGCGCACTTTCGGACATGGCCAAACTGTGCCAAGTGTTCTCTCAGCTCACTCGAGCTGGCAGTCCAGGGAATTTTTCTGACAAAAGCAACGGGCCGGCTAGCATTTGCCCGCAGAGCCATAGCGCCCCTCATTGCCGAAGCCGCCATCTTTAGACTCACTTTTGGGAGTTTAAAATACTTTTTATGTGAAATAGGCTTTAAGACCTATTTACACAGCAAAGGAAAAACAAGATGTTTATTCTGAATATCTATAATATAAATATGCATGCTACGGTTATATACTTGGAAAATGAATTATGGAAAAACAACCAAAACCCTCTTTTTAAAGGTTTTTACTGAGTTCTGGCCGGTGTGGCTCAGCAGTTACAGTGTCAGCCCCAACACCGAAGGGTCGGTGTGTTCGATTCCCAGTCAAGAGTGCATTCCTGGGTTGCAGGTTTGAGACCCAGCCCAGTCCAGGCACATGTGCAAAGCACCAATCTATGTATCTCTTTCACATTAATGTTTCTCTCCCTCCTTCCCTTCCACTCTCTCTCAAAAAAATCAATGAAATATCCTTGGGTGAGGATTAACAAAACAAACCAAAAAAAGGTTTCTACTGAAATGTCTTTTCTTCATTGTAGAGTCTTTGTCCCCATTTGTTAGGACATTATATAACTTTGGGCCAGTTACTTAATCTTTTTTATACCTCATTTTCTTCTTCAATAAAATGGGGATAGTAGTATCATCTTCTGTTGGGGATTAACTGAGTTCATTAACATATTAAATGCAATCCATGAAAACCTCTGGGACAGTTATTGGTACACAGTATACACTCAATGTTAGCTACTGGCATTATTAGTATCCATTTTTACCTTACCCATTAAACCATTCCTTTTAACAAAATACTCAATGCACAGCCTCTAGTTCCTTAGATCAGTCAACCCAAAGGTCAAAACAGAGTAAACCGCAGTCTCCAGGAGGCAAAGGCACATACATCCAGTTTTTTTTTGGTCCGGACTGCATCTTCAGGCAGAAAAGAGGTAAGTCATGAAGATCCACTTGGCTTTCCCCAAAGGAAAACTGAAACCTACTGTGTCTCACATTTGAGCAATCAAAACCAAGAACATAAACAGAACATGAGGGGATGAGGGTCAGCACATGACCTCAAAAGAGACTCCAGCTACACTAGAAAAACTAAGAACTTTGAAATCTTTATTTTTATCCCCTACCAATAAAATGCCACCCTCTCCGGAAACAGCATCCTTACTAGGCACAGTTAACAACAGCAACACTTTGTTTCTGTCTCCTTGTTCTCCAACTCATCAAACAAACACAAAATAAGCATCATGTACATCTGTGCTTCCTTTAGGTATCCTGCAAAAATGGAAGCTCTGATTCAGTTGATTTACACTGGACCTTGAGAGTCTGCATTTCCAAAAAACTTGCTGAACTACTGATGCATGACTACACTTTCAGTGCAAGTGTAGCATTATCCCATTTAACCTTCACAACCACCCCACTGGTCAATGTGGGGAGGAACAAACTTTTGCTGTGCCATACAGGTGGGTCAGTAAGATTATTGCTGTTAGTCTCTTATGGGCAAGGCCCCTAATTCCAGCTCTTCTGGGTAAAGGAAGAAGTTTCTCTTGCGCCTGAAGCTAAAACTGACATTAGCTCTAAATAATCCGCATACTACGGAGGCACATCTTGGGGTGTCTGGTTCCGAAGCCAAACAACTGAAGAGCCTGAAGTTGGGGGAAGTTAAGTCACCTGCCCAAGGCCAAAGCACGACAGGAATGGTGAGGCTGACGTTACAACCCGGTCCCCTTAACTCCCTGGTCCCTGGTCCTCTCTACCCCCAGGAAAGCATCCTTCAATTGCACGTGTTCCTAAGAAGCCCGAGTAACTCGGAGAACCCAGCCAACAGGCAGGAGACGGGAGGAGGCAGCGCGAGCGCGCAGCGCCGCCAGGAGGCCGGTCCCGCGCGGCCGCCACTCCCCCCGCAGCTCCGTCCACGCTCGCAAACTGCGGGAACTCCCAAGTTGAAACTCGCGCGCGCACCCCCGACACGGCCGAGTTGCGCAGACACTGGAGAGACGCGACCCTGGCGCCGGTCACTCAAGCCGGGGCTCGACGGGACGACCCCCGGAGGGAGCCTCACTCCCCGCCGCGAGGCCGACGCGCACCCCAAACCCGTTCCTCCGGGGGCCGAGGCCGGAAGGGGCCGCAGGGGGCGGAGACTCCGGGCGCCCGAGGCACTCAGGGAGCCGGGCGGGCGCCGGGCCCGCAGAGCGCGGGGCGGGGAAGGGGCGGGGAGGCGGGGAGTCCCGACACTGGGACACCGGAAGGGGCCGCCGCCGAGGGGAGGGGCGGGTGGGGGCGGCGGCTATGAACCCCACACACAGAAACGGCGCGCTGTGGTCCGGCCGCGCTCACTCACCTCCCCCGTACACGCCGCCGCTCATGGCTGCTGTCGGCGCGATTCCTACGCTGAAGGCCACCCGGCGACGTGGTTGCAACAAGGGCGACCGCGGGTCCTGAGAAGCGCTAGCCTCTGACCCCCTTAACTTCCACCGCCACCCCCCTCAGGCAACAAAGCAGCGTCCACACACCCGGTGCGCAGTCACACTTGCTGTCCTCTCTTTACAGCCAATCACGAGAGGTCCGGCTGTCCTTCAGCCAATGATAACTGGGCTCTGGGGCATCCTGCCGCGACACTGTCATGTTAGCCAATCGAAGGCAGCCAAGGGACCGGGAGAAGGCAAAGCAACAAAAGGAGGGAAGGAATTGGACCGCGGAGCTGGGGGGGCGGGGTATCTGAGTAGGCGGGAGAAGGCGGTGGTGGGAGCAGGACTGGGAGGAGGAAAGTGTAGGGGCGGGTCCAAGGTTGTTGCTGGGCGCGGAGGTGTCCTGGGAACCCGCTAGACCCCGGTGAACCTCTGAAAAGTGTGGAAGGGGGGGGGTGTGGGGGGGGTCTCCACGCGGTGATTCCGGGTTTGGGAGTGTGGCAATGCAGAATTTTTTTTCTAGAAAAAGTATTTTCAACTAACTTTTATGTTGAAATAATAAAACCATTTTGCTGTAGTTTGGGGTAAGGGAATCAGTAATCAATGTAATAGGATTCTGTTATTTTTTTAAAATGGTCATTTATAATTCAAACAAAAAAGATTATATACTATCCCAAGCATATTTAGGCAGTGCTTTAAAAATAATGTGTCATCAATCTCTTTTTATCCTGTGAGACAGATACAGAACTAGTCAGTACTCATCCAAGCAAGTACCTAATCCTAAATAGATGTCCAATCTGTCTGTTCTTTTTTTGTCCCTTCTTTCTGCCAGCTCAGTTGAAATCACCATTGTCTCTTCCCTGGATTACTGCAACAATCTGTTTCTTTACCTCTTGGCCACAATGCAGGCAGCTTGATATGAAAACACCCAATTCTGTAACACAACTCCAACTCAGACCCTCCAGATCAGTGGTATATACTTGTAGTTGATAGCCATTCTTTTGTCTAAATTGGTTTGTCTAGAGCCTAGATGTAACGGGATTCTCTTAAAGAACAATTGAATAAAACCACATTAGTCTCAGTGCCAACAGTGTGGCAGAAAGTGATTGATAGTAGGGTAGAACAAGACTAGTGAGAAAATACCCACTCACTTTTCAGTATAATCACCATATATCTGATCATTTAGATGGAAACCACCACTAACTCAAAGACATAATATAGAAGTCAGCAAATCATAATCCCAGGGCCAAATTCAACCAGCTTTCTGTTTTTGTATGGCCTGTAAGGTAAGAATGACTCTTCCATTTCTCAATGGTTTTTTAAAAATACTTTTAAGGATAATGTTTTCTGATGTGAAAATTATATTGAATCTTATTTCAGTGACCATAAGCTCAGTTTCACTGAAACACAGCCAGGCTTATTCACTTATGGCTGCTTTTGCTCTGTAAGGGCAGAGTTGATCAGTTAAGACAGACTGTGACCAACTAAACTGGAAAACATATTTACTGAGACCCCTTTATAGAAAGTTTATTGACCCCTGAGATAATGGGTGTGACACATCTGGCACAGTTCCCCTAAGTACTTTAAAATATATTAACTTTTGCCACCTTAATTCAGCTGTCACTGTGGATACTGTTTAAATTTGAAGATCTAATCAGTTTTATTAAGTGATTTATGAATCAGGCTCTCCAAGGAGTTGTACAAAATGAAAGGATTTTATAAGAAAAACGGTGGGATAAGGGACTTATTAGGAAAAGAAAATGAAGGACTGTTTTTCAGCTGGGACATCTTTTCTTTAGGGGAAGAGAAAGTGAAGAGTTTTTATTATGTAGAATGCCTCCTCTTTCAATGGGAGCTAGAGAGGGCCTATGTGATAGATTACCTTGTGGTACTTGACCAGAAAATTCCATAATGGTTGACTAAGATTACATTTCTGGGAGAAGTCGAAACTGCAATTAGATCAGGCATTAAATCTAAGTATGGTACTATAAAGTGACACCTTCTGGGGCTGTGGTTTTCTCTTTAACAATTTTCCCCTTTGGATCATACCTCTCAGTTTAACTGAGACATGTGATTAAAGAAAAAAAATTAACATGTTATGATCCCATTTTATAAATTATGACATCTAAAAAGACTTCAAAAGGACCTGAATCTTACAGTGGGAAATAAATGTTAACGGCTATAGCAAAGGCAATTCCAGTAACATTTTTACTACTATTGTTAATAGACAATGAGGTGGTGTGGATACTCCTGTAAATAAACAGTGAATACTTGCACTGAAAATGCTAATACATTTCGTACTTAAAGTAGCAAGTCACAAGACAACATCAATCCAAAAATGTATTTCTGGATGGCTAGCAATTTTTATTTAAATTTGCAAGCCTAATGTAAAAGGCATTGGCAATAAGTTTTACTCATCAATAAAAAGCAATTCTATCAATCCACTGGTAATTAATATACTAAGCAGAGTTGAAAAGCATTTGACTGAAAGCAAAATATTTAGAGAAAATAGACATTTGTACAAAATTATAAAATGCATATAATAAGAATAAATGCATTCCAAGGAAAGCACAAACTTATTTTATAGAGCCAGTTAAAGCCTTGAAAAATTTAAGTGGAAATTGAAATATGCAAAAATGTATAAACATTCTACAAAAGATGGTCATTCTTTTCCTGAGTGTACTAAAGCTATGAAACGTTAAGGTGACAGGAAGGTGGAGGTGTGGGAACACTTTTCAAGGGCACTTCCTTTCTACACACTGCTTCCCTCCTTCTTCATATTCTTGTTTGGAAATCCACATCTGTTGAAAGGTTCCCTGTAAAATGGAAAGAAAAATTAGACATCGTTATTTTACAACTCCCAATCTTTGGAGAAGTCTTAAACCCACTGCCCCCAAATAGTATTCCATTACTCTCGTTTCTGCCTTCCTCCAGAACACCCACAGACACTACTTCAGGTTAGAAGGAATATTAAATCCTTCTATACCTGTTACACTGTCATGAGGACAGAAATAGGCTGTGAAAGGAAGATGGAGGGTTTAGCTATGATCGCTTGGTGCCCATCTAAGACAACAACAGAAACTTAGGAGGCTTGAACCTAGTACAGAATTGAAGAGATGCTCTAGGACTGAGTCATAGTAACATTTAGAACTGAAAAGTGCTCGTCAGAACCAGGACAAAATATCACAAGTACACACACAAGAGTACCAGCACTTTACCAAATAAACATAGATGGTGAAAGGAGGAAAGTGACCAAAGGAGGAAGGAACCTGGGCTACGTGACTAACTCTATTCAAGTGTATTCATACATGGCATCTAGGTTTCCTCTAGGATCTGCTGAAAGACTGGAAATAGAACATAGAGAAGAAATACATGCATGGACAGTTCCAAACATGTAATTGCTTAAAAATGTTTAGCACAAGTACTTGGTGACATCTATCTGATGGCTCTGAAGAGAAGGGAACATTCTCCAGTCCAGGGTGCAGATAAGTACAAGGACTTTTTCTCCTGATCAAGGCAGGCACCAGTCTAAGCAACATGTAAAACACAGCACCATTTGCCCCAAGAACCAATTCCTTCCTTTCTCTCTCTCAGCAACAAGCCAGGGAGCAACCAAAACCTGAGAGGGATTGATTCAATTTTAAATATGCTGCAGGAGTCCTGCCCAGTGCCAATGAGAGTACTACTGGAAGAGGCGTGAACAGGTTAGCAGATTCCCTCCCACTGGTTTGAGAGGAAGTCTTTTTACCAAATTTAGTGTTTTCAGTGGTATATTTAACTTAAATCATTCAACACGAATTGTTACCTATTTTTCAAAGTAGTTTATCTACTCACCAGAGAAGCTAGAATAGAGCCACCAATCCATGAACTGAACCTCCGTTCCACTGTCGTATTATTTGCAATCAGTTTCAACCGCATACTCTAAAATCGAGAGGGAAGAATAAATATTAGTATGATTAAATACAACAGGTGATTCCAATTAGGAAATTCAGCCTTGAGGATTTCCTAACAACTAGTTGAAACAGATTATACGTGATTTTTTATTTTTTTTGCACCAGCTGGGCTTATAATAGGCATAGTTTGACCTACTATATAGATGTTTTAAAAGTACTTTATGGCTTTTAATGTGTAATATTTCATAATAAAATATATAAACCTTAGAAAACAGCATACTAAAGAGTGTGGCATTTACCTTTTATATCCTATAACCGTAAACATCCTTAACACTTACTATAAATCGGGTACCGTGCTACGTGCTACATATATTGCTTCAATTCTTCCAACACGACGTCCAATTATTACCCCAACCTGCAGCCCCTTCAGCAGTCCTAAATGTTCTCACTACTACTCTTTTAGGCTTCATGCGATCCTAATCCTTCTTTCTTAGTTCACCCCTTCACACCCCAACACCCTCTCCCACTTAGAAAATAAAATGCAGACATTAGATGTCAGGTGTTTTATTCATACTGCTTTCCTTTCTAATTAGTGTTTCTGCTGAACTCATACTCTCATCACTATCACTCTCACTTCCTGAATCAAGACATTTTTACCCCCTATCTAGTAATTTGCTTCTGAGGATAGTTCAAAAATTATTGATCTTTTCATTATTCTAAATATAAATACATAATGTGAGTCTTTCACAGTGAAATAATTGTGTGGCAGGAGTTCACTCTGTCATATCAGTGGGTTTTTGCAGGTGAGGAATTGGTTTATATCTAGTACACTGGAATTTTTCCCTGTTATTTCATTAATTTTTAATTACCTCCTAATGAATAAGGATAGATAGTATCTAACTGGTCTTGATAGCTGATTTCTATATTCACTATTCTGGGACTTTCTAAGAAGCCCAATGATTAGCACTATAATTAAGGTATATTCCAGATCAGACTATCTATCCAAGAATCGTGTCCGTTTGTGCCTATATCAATATTTAACACAATTACAAAAAATCTGGCATATGTAAATTATGCCCAAATATGAGAAACCAAAAGACTATCGAATGAATATACAAATACGGTTAGGGTCTATGTAATCCCTAACAAGTGTTTAAGAATAACAGTAGTTCAGAATACCTTACAAGAAACTACGTGATAGAAATTTTAAAATCGAAAGGTTTTGATTGCTACTCTGTTATCAATGTACCATGTAAACTACCTTCTCCTCAAACCAGGTTCTTCTATCACACAGAGATCTTTTTAAAACAAACACAGGGGCTCTTCATCCTCTGCCAAATTCGATCTTTTAAGTCCACTATTAATAGGCGACATTACGTGGTACATGACATGACTCTACCGTGTACCCCAAAGAGACATACTGAAGTTCTAATCCTGGGTACCTGTGAATGTGATCTTATTTAGAAATAGGGTCTTTGTAAATGTAATTAATATATAAATTAAGATGAGGTCATACTAGAGCAGGATGGGCCCTTAGTCCATCATGACTAGCGTTCTTACAAGAAAGGAACAGACCCACGAGGAGAGAATGCCATGACGACAGAGACAAGAGTCTAATGTGGTGTAGCTGCAATCCAGGAAACACTGTGGAAAGCCAGAAAACCGTCACATGCTAAGAAGAAAGGAAGGATTCTCCTTTCAGTAGGTTTTAAAGAGAGCATGGCCTTGCGAACACATTAATGTCCTACTTCTAGCTTCCAGAATGAACTGAGAGAAAATAAATTTCTGGTGTTTTAAGCCACCCACTTTGCAGTACTTTGTTACGGCAGCCCTAAGAAACCAATGCACCATCCATCAAACCAGCCATATTGCTCTCCCCACTTCTGCACAGATGATATGCCAACTACTTTGAGATATTGAAATATGCCACCTTTCCTTCATACTGAGCACCTGGTTTTCCCTCCACATAGATGTCCTTGTATAAATTGTCAACCAGTTAACTCCTATTCAAACAACTTCTTCATGAGGCTTTTCTCTGATACTCTTAGGAAGTTAACTGCTTGTTCCTCACTGTTCCCAAGAGCGCCTGATTCAGGACATACTGAACCACTGAGCACATATTTTCCATGTCTGTTCATCCTTGCAGAATGAGCACCTGCTGGGCAGGGACTATATTTTATATCCCCAGTGCCTAGTAGACTATAGGCACTTAGGTATGGCATCAATGACTAAAATGACAGTCAAATAGTATAAGAGTAACTAACAGATGTCATCTAAGAAAATTTGATTAATAAGGGATATTAACTTAATTGAAGTAATACTGTACCTGGCACACACAAAGTATCAGTCTACTGAAAAACAAACCTTATCTATAAAATGACAGCAGTGGCTGAAGAAAATAACTTAAGAACAAACAAAACTTACAGGGGGAGTTTTCTGAGACAGTTCTCTATTCAACCTGTCAGTGAAGCTCTGTATTAGCGTGTTTCCTCCTGCCACTATGACACTGCCATAGAGACCCTAGGACACAAAACAAAAATAAATTAGTTCCAAATGTTTCCAAAAGTTTTGAACACAACTACAAATAAAACCATAGCTGCCATTACAATTTCATATAGACCTAGTGGCTTAACCCAGTGGTTCTCAATACTGGCCATGCGCATATTCCATAAATTTAGGCAGATTTTAAAACACCAGTGCCTGCCCAGCTGGTGTGGTTCACTGGATTGAGCGTCGTCCCATGGACTGAGAGGTCCCAGTTCAATTCCCCATCAGGGCACATAACAGGGTTGCGGGCTCAAACACCCGTAGCGGGTGTTCAGTGGGTGGCCAATCGATGTTTCTATCTCTCCCTTCCTCTCTTTCCAAAATATCAATAAAAACATATAAATAAATTAAAAACACACACACACACACAAAACACCAGTGCGTGGGCAGTAAAATAAAAATCTCTGGGAATACAGTCTTTATTTTTTATTTATTTTTTAAATTTCATTTGATTGATTGATTTGAAAGACAGAGAGGAAAATGGGGAGAGAGAGATGAAAAACAAAACAAAACATCAATTTGTTGTTCCACTTATGTATGCATTCATTGGTTGCTTTCTTGTGTGTGCCCTGACTGGGGACTGAACCTGCAAGCTTGGTGCATCAGGACAAGTCTAACCAGCTGAGCTACACGAACAGGGCCTGGGGTTTTTATATTGTTTTAGTTGTTTACAGTTCTCCAGATGATTCTAATATGTATTGATGTTTAAGGACCACTAATGCAAAGTCATTATTCTAAAATCCATTATTTTTTGACAGACAGCTGCCAATATTTAATTAGAGGTATATTTTTAACATTTTTTTTCCTTTATTGATTTTAGAGAGAGAGGGAGGGAGAGAGAGATGGAAACATTGATGAGAGAGAACATCGACTGGCTGCCTCCTACATGGCCCCCCACTGGGGATTTGGCCCACAACCTGGGCATGTGCCCTGACCAGGAATCGAAATGGCGACCTCTTAGTGCATGGGTTGATGCTCAACCATGGAGCCACACCGGCCGGGCATTTTAGAGGTATATTGTATAATGACTTCAGCTTAGAATGCCCATCCAGAAGTTCTGGTATTTAAAATGAGACACTGTGATTCTTTAATGATCGTGATGGACAATGGACACTCTGACAACATTCCTGGGAAATTACTGCTTTCTCTCTTGCACAGGTGTGCATCTGAATCGTGTGGAGAGCTTCTACAAAATCCACATACTGAGGCCTCTCCAAATAAAAATAAATTCCTACTTAGAGAAGTACATTTACCTATAGTCTGCAAATATGCATTAGAAAGTTAAATGTCAGTCTGCTTTTTCAGTGGCTAAGTTCAAGTTTTTAAAAATATTTCAAAGGTATGAATCATCTAACTTTTTGAAAGACAAAATGGAGTACAGAAGAATCGCCTCTGCAATCAACATTAAAGGGAGAAGTTTCACTAAAAACAGAAAGCTATTCAATTGCATTCCCTCAAAAGTGGCCTTAGGTTTGCACTCAAGAATTCCACATTAGCCTGGCCAGTGTGGCTCAGTGGTTGAGCATCGACCCATGCACCAAGAGGTCACCAGTTCAATTCCCAGTCAGGGCACCTGCCCAGGTTGTGGGCCAAATCCCCGGTGGGGGGCATGCAGGAGGCGGTCAATTGATGTTCTCTCTCATCTATGTTTCTCTCTCTCTCTCTAAAATCAATAAAGAAAAAAAATTTTTTTTTTAAAATTCCACATTATACCCCTATCGTCCTGGAAACAGCACATACTGCTAGGTAAATAGTTGAAATAATGAACTCTTTTTTTTTTTTTATAGCCATCCAAAATGTGTTTTAACATGGTTTTTAAATCAACCCTTAGATTTTGGCACTATGCTCTAAGCAAAGGAATTAACTCAAAGAAAATCTACACAATATACTGGCTACAAATTGAGTCCAGGGTTTAAGTATAATATAATCAATCTAATAATCAGTGTGGTAATATATATAGTTAGTATTTAAAACTTGAAAAAGCACAACAGTATGAGAGTAAGGAGATCATTTAAACTACATCCCTTGTAAAAATTACATAATTTAAACCACGTCTTCTTGAGGAAACTATACAATATACGAGAAAAAAATCACCAATAATATATACTTTGGTGTGTCACATTTCAGGAAATCTCTAGAACAGCACTGTTCCAAAGAACTTTGTCAGATGGAAATGCTGTGTATCTGCACTGTCATATAGTGGCTCCCAGCTACATTTATGATGTGGCCTGTACGACCTAAGAACTGACTTTGACATTTTTATTTGTTTTAATTTAAATTGCCCCATGTGGCCAGTTGATACCATGTTGCACACCACAGCTCTAGAGTGTTGTACTTTTTCCTTTTCCTACTCCATCCTTTTACACATTCTGTTATAACATGGACTTCAAAGTCAATGAACACAGCTGCCAACTTAAATAATGATTTGGGGGCATTTCAGTGCCCTAAAAGATACCTCCATGCCATATACAGGAGACTGGCACTTACTGGTCTGATATCAATATCGCACATCCCAACACTTGTAGTGACAACGTGACTGACTCCCAGCATTGTATTTCCTGATAATCCCTACAACAAAATAAAACGAGTAGTGAGACAGAGAACTTCAAACATAAAGTGCATCCAAAAAAATTTAATATTATATAGGTTTTATTTTTTTGGTACATGCCCCTAGTGGGAACGGAACCTGGGACTCTGGTCTGCAGGCCGATGCTCCAACTGCTGAGCCAAACCGGCCAAGGCATTATATAGGTTTTATAATTACACAAGATCTCTACACATACAGGAAAAGCCAGGCTAATTATGAAATAAGCTTTCATACCTTTACATTGGAAGGGTCAAATAATCCTTCAGGAATCTTTAACCGTTCTGCTCCAAAATCACAGTTGTAGCCATTGGGGAATTCATAATGAACAGTTGGCATCTGTGCGGCTACTCTGAAAACACAGTAAACATCATTAAACAAAGACAAAAGCAATCCTCTTAAAAAATGATGAACTACTAAGGAATCAACTTATATGAAAGCAGAGTGAGAGTATCTACTTTCTTTTCAAATGTTATTTCATATTTCTTAACATAACGTTTTGCTTTTCAACCAGTTAAGCATACTCTATAATTCTTTTTTTACATAAACAAATTAATTTATTTTCTCATTTAGGAAATACACAGTTTTCAAAAAGGTTGGTATGAAGCCCTGGCCGGCGTGGCTCAGTTGGTTGGAGCGTTGTCCCATGCACTGAAAGGTAGTAGGTTTGATTCCCAGTCAGGTACATGCCTAGTGGCAGGTTTGAACTCTGGTGGATCCCCAGTCGGGGAGCATGTGGGAGGCAACCAACGAATGTTTCTCTCTTGCATCAATGTTTCTCTCACTCTCTCTCACCCTTCTTCTCTCTCTAAAATCAATAAAAAAAACATATCCTCAGGTGAGGATTAAAAAAATAAAGATTAGTACAAAGGTGTAAATGAGCTATTAAATTTTGTCTTGTGGGGTGTCCTTCCCTTAGGGAGTACATCCACGCCTTTCTTCTCTCTCAGGCATGCATCTCCTAAAATCTAAGGGTCTCCACAAGCCTTACAAAAAGGGAAGCAATGGGCACCGGCAGCTTGTCCCGGGTTAATCCCCAGACCTGTCTCCAAGGCCTCCTTTTCTATGACTTTCCAGTGAGCCAAAAGCACCCTGCCTAGACTCATTTCTTTCCTATAACATTTCTAGAGAGCCAACAGGCCAGCCTAGGCCTTCTCCTGTTGCTTCTTCTATTCTAAGCCCTTCCTTGTTTCACTGTCACCAGCTTTAATAAACGTACTCTCAAAACAAAAATAAATGAATAAATAAATGTCATAAAGTCAAAATAAGAAAACATACTGTTCATCATAAGGTGAATCTGACACTTGAAGTACTGAAGCTTGAAAATCCTGGATAACACACTATGGATAAAAGTAAGAACATTTAAGAAACAAGGTTATTGAGATTTGTCTTTGCAATCTATAGTTTCATAACATCATCTATAAAATACTTTTCTTAAGGAAACTGGGCCATGTTGCTAAATAGGTAAGTAATTTCAAGGGTAAATCTATCCAGCAAGGAGTCGTAAGCATCTAAAAAAACCAATTATAAGCATCTGAATAGAAGCTAAAATTCAGAACATTTAAATCATAACAGTTATAGACCGATGATGAGATAAAAACATCTCAGAACTCTTGTACCACAGTCCTGCACAACAAAACCAGTTTCAAAACACTGTTTTTACCATAAAAATAAGCTGACTTAGAGGCAAGATTTCATTATCTGGATACACACACACACACACACACACTGCATTTGAAGTAACTTCACATGACTGCACCTAGTGTAGAATTTAAATTTTTTCCTTTATTGATTTTAGAGAAAGAGGCAGGAGAGAGATCTTTGACTGGCTACCTCCTGCATGTCCCCCACTGGGGATTTGGCCCACAACCTGGGTATGTGCCCTGACTGGGAATCGAACTGGTGACCTCTTGGTACACGGGTCGACGCTCAACCACAAAGCCACACCGGCCGGGCAAGTATAAAACAATTTTAAAATTTGCTCTGAAATACATGGGCTGCTAAAGATAAACCTTGTCTAATATCTAGTCAAAATTACTAATCATTTCCATAATTTTTCCTTGTACCAAACACCTACAAAAAACCTTTTATCTTTAGGTGCAAGAAAAGTCAGATAGGATATATTCCTGACATAGTGAATGATGACTTTCATATCCTTTTACTGTGAGAAATGAATGAATATCTGTGCTATGAGAGGTTGTTTTACTAATTTCTATCCCGTCAGTAAGTCCAATGTTCAGAAATGGATTTTTAGTAATGAGAATCTCTCGGTGGCTCCTTGCTATGTATAATAACCCACATTCTTTATATGGCTGACTGATATTAGGCAAGAGAACATAACTGAGCCATACCAGGAGACTGCTATAGACGAAAACCATTTCACCATCACCACCACCAAAAAAAAATTTGTCCAGAAAGCATAATGCTTGTTTTTATCCCAAAACCAAAATTCTTTTCAGGTTTGACCACTATAATCTAAATGAATCTAAATGAATATTTGCCATATTTGTTTGGCAAGCATGAAAAGCAGACCCACCCATAAAAACCTATTAATTCTATTTCTAGAATATCATAAAAAAAATGTAAAGACTGAAAATAGTGTTCATATTGAATTCAAAGACTTACAGCCTATACCTCTCTCATAAAGAGGACAATGGTCACTTACGTTACACATATAATTGTGCCAAGACCTTGTAACCTGAGGCAACTTCTCTTTTCTTTTCCAGTTTGCTGGTGATCCTTCACGCACAGGTTCCTGAGTACCAAGAGCATGGGCCAGGTTAACAGAGCTCACAAAATGAGGTGAAGAGGTAAATCCCAAAAAGATAATCCAGTCATCACTTACTTTGGATGCGATCATATATGGAGGAATCAGTTCTATGTTCATTTCCTGGAAGAGCTCTCTGCATTGCATTGTAATAAAGTCTCCAGCAAGAGGGGACTTCACAATACCTATGAGACAGATTAAACAAGGCAAGAGAGCACTAAGTTCAAACCCCTTGGGACAAATGTCCTCCGTGGATTGATGTATAACTGTTTCCAAGTAGAATTAACAGTACTAACCCTAAAAGCATGCATGTAGATCAGTTTTAAATCTACATTATATACCAATATTTATTTTAAAAACTTTTTTAAAAAATGACATTATTTGGAACCTGGTATGTTGTGACAGTCCAGTGTCAGTATCTGCGTCCTCATGACAGCGAACACTGTCTCAGCACACACTGGTGAAAATACATTTACCTTGCTGAAGGACATAGCCATCGTGAACTGGAATTGCAGTGGTATGAGTGGCTCCACTGTCCAAAATAAGCCCAGTCGAACGCCCATTAGCAAATCTAGTTTAAAACATTAAGGAAAAGTAAGGCTCAAGGCTCCTAAAATAATGTTTATTACAAAGGGAAGGTTTTATTAAGGTCTTTGTAAAATTAAGCATTATGGCTTAAAATATGTTAAAGTATATCTAGAGGTTAAAATTTGGATCGAAATGACTCTGTCTGTCCCTACTTCCATGTATCTGCCAGATACAACCCACACAAATAAAAGCTGTGGATGTACTCAGGTTGAGAACTGCTGGGCTAGAAGAACTTAGTAACACCGCACCAAGTCAGCAAAATCCACAAATATGAGAAATTCTACAGGACAAACAATCTACTTTCTTGAACAAAGAAATTTCAAAAGAAAAAAATGGAGGAGGGGTAGAATCTACATTTTTTTTATTTTTATTGATTTTTAGAGAGAGAAGAGAGAGGGAGGGAGAGAGAGAAACATCGACAAGAGAGAGTATCGACTGGCCGCCTCCTGCATGCCCTCCACTGGGGATTTGGCCCACAACCTGGGATGTACCCTGACTGGGAATCGAACCAATGACCTCTTGGTGTATGGGTCAACGCTTAACCACTGAGCCACACTGGCTGGGCTGAATCTACACATTTAAAGAGAACTAGAAGACACTGAACAAATACAATGTATGACCCTTGTTGTTTGGGTCCTAACCCTAACCCTAACCCTAACCCTAACCCTAACCCTAACCCTAACGCAAATATACTACTTTTTGGAAGAAGATAAATTGTGGTTACATCTTTTTGTTGTTATTGTTTTTTAATGTTTTTATTGATTTTTAGAGAGCGAGGAAGGGAGAGACAGAAACATGGATGTGAGAGAGAAACATGGATCATGGATCGGCTGCCTCTTGCATGCCCCTACTAGGGATTGAGCCCACAACCCAGGCACGTGCCCTGACTAAGACTCGAACGGGGACTCTCAGTCCACGGGACTCTCAGTCCAAGGGACACTCAATCTCATGAGCCACACCGGCTGGGCTTTGTTGTTGTTTTTAAAAAACAGGGTAAAATCTTTTATAGATATATACATGCTCAAGTTTCTTTTTTTAAAATTATATAATGTCTGGGATTTACTTCAAAATCATGGTGGGAGGGGAGATAGATGGGGTTATAACTAATGCAACTTAACTATGTACTGAAAATTGATGAACCTTGTTGATGAATCTATGGAGGATCAATATAATATTCTATCTTCTTTGTATTAGAAATGTCCTATCATAAAAGGCTAAGAAATAAAACAGTGCCCAATTCTGTTTACACACTCCTTGTAAGGAACCAGCCAAACAGACTTATGTTCAAATTCAGGTCTGCCATTTTCCAAATTGTGAACTTGGACCAATTTGCTTATATTGACTGCATTTCCTGACATGGTTAGCATGAAAATTAAAGATAATGCACACCATGAGTCTGCTAGCACTCTCCATCCTCAAGACAAAAATCTGCAATGGTTCTCTAAGGGTCTAAAGTTCACATTTTTTATATCTAACATGCAGGCAGGCTTCTACAGTAAGACCTAAACCCATTTTTACAACTTCTGAAGTCTAACATAAACCTTCATCTATAAAGTAGATCACTGTAACAAAACCCTTTCCACCTCTACACTTTGGTAAGTCATCTCTAAGACATGGCACTAT